ATCAATGCCCCCACCGTCCTCGTCGACATCGTGCCCCGTCCTCATCGTCACTGCCGTTGCTATCCTCCGCCTGGTCGAAGGGCAATGGCAGGCGAGTGTGCGATGTTGGGTGAGAGGGTGGTGGCAGGCAAGCAGGTGGTGGTGGCCAAGCAGACGGTGGTGGGCATGGAGGTGCCCAAGCCCACATCCCTGTCGCGAGGGGAGGGGCGGTTTTGGTGCGTCGTCATCGACGTGAACGCTGTTCTGTGAATGCAGAGGTAGATTAGTAGGGATATAGATACATAAAAAAGAACCATACTTACCTTGTCTCGTGTTTCGGGGCTGCTTCGCAGTGAGGGGGTGAGGGAAGTGGTGGAGAAAGACCAAGATCAACGATGTTGAGCATCGTTGATCGCGGTTCGGCGGGATCCGGCTGCCCATCCCATTGGCTGGGGTTATCGGCCCAATCCCATTTCCGTTCCGTTGTCGACCAACGGAACGTCTCTGCTGGATGCAGAAGGTGTCGTTCCTCTATTTAAACTCTCGGAAATCGTTATTAGTATATCAGTGCATCTATATATGTAATTTTAACAAAATAAAACGCGATTTAAATATTTTATGAGTCAATTCATCTCAGACTCAAGCCAATTAGGGGAGTCTCTCCTCTGTACGTAGATTTCAAGAGGCAGAAGAAATGAAATAAATATGTAAAAATAATGTACAGACTGGATGATTATGATAGTATTGAGGAATGGAGCTCCCCTGGCCAACTTAGTAGTTTTTGGATGTAAACTAAGAAACTGCACATGACGGGGTGGATTCCGTAGTCAAACCAACTCATTGATGTGTCAGATATCAAACACCAGCCTGTATCATAGGATTTACATGGTAGATTCAGGCTAAATTTCTTATATGATGTACTTACTTACCCAAAGATCTCAAATTCATGGTTATTATGATGTTTAACCTCATCGAACGAGTGGTATTCGAGAGGTTGGAACATCAAAAAGACGTAAATCACCACGCGGAAATAGTAACTCAAGCTTTCAGCTTGTTCTCGCTCTCAGATCATATTCGGACTTTTTTACATACATAGATTACAGTAGTTCTATTAATTACCGATCATTAATCAAAGGATTTTCTTCATATCTCAAGTGTATTGGCTCTTCTGAGGTCGATGAGTGGAACGCGGGCTGGCCGGACCACCAGCGCCAGCCAATCACGTTGCCCGCGGCATCCGCCGGATAAGCCATCAACGGCGAAGACCGTCGTTGATCCTCATCCTCGACCACCATCTCCTCTCTCCCTTCTTTACTCAACACCCCAAACAACACCTCAAGACTGAAAAAAACGATAAGTAATCTGTTTTATTCATGTTTTCATACTCTAATAGGCCTTTAATTCAACCTTAGGCCAACGAACGTCGACTTTAAGTCGACGTTCGTTTTCTTGTCCTCCCATGCCCCTCCCCTTCAATAGGGATGTGGGCGGAGGCATGAAACCCTACGCCTCCGTCTCTCACCTTTCCCCCTCTCCCTTGCCTCGCTTTCTCCTCCTGCTGGCACCACCCTCCCACTGATCTGTGGACCAACGACAGCGGCGAAGGGCGAATGAAGGACAGTGGCAAGGGACGACCGGAGGGAGAGGGGCGAACGACGACGCACGGGCGACGACCGACAACACACGAACGACGACGCAGGCGCAACGACAGACGACGGACGACGGACACACATCGGCGCACGAACGACGACCAACAGGGGGCGGAGTCCCTGGCAGATGAGTAGGGGGGCAGAGGAACCCCCCACGGATGAGCAAGGGGTGCCACCATGGATGAGGAGGGGACTAGAAGTGCCCCCCATGGATGAGAAGGGGGTGGAGGGGGGTAGAGGTGACCCCATGGATGAGGAGGGGGGTAGAGGTGCCCCCACGGATGAGCAGGGGGTGGAGGTGCCCCCCATGGATGA